TTAACTAGAAGAGATTTTCCTAAAGTCTTTTAGTTGTTGAACATTGCTAGGGATTTTCTCTTGAAAATGAATTTTTATATGATTAACTAGATCAGTTTTTCCAAAGAAACCTTTTAGACACTTTGAACACTGATATGGTGGTTTCTTGTCATGAATGTTCATGTGCTTTACTAAATGAGTTTTTCGCAAAAAACATTTAGAACACTTTGAACACTTAAATGGTTTCTCACCAGTATGAAGTTTTATATGATTTATTAAGGTTGACTTGCTTGAGAACTCCTTCAGACATTCTGAACACCCAAATGGTTTTTCTTTTGTATGAAAAGCCATGTGTTGAACTAGACCACTATGTTGTGTAAATGCTTTCCAACAGTCTGAACACTGATATGGTTTCTCTCCTGTATGTAATCTTGTGTGTTTTACTAGAGCAGATTTAACTGCAAATTCTTTGGAACAAACTGAGCATTGAAATGGTTTTTCTCCAGTGTGAACTCTCATGTGTGTCAGTAGATGTCCTGTTTGTTTAAAACCTTTTTGACATACTGAACACTGATATGGTTTTTCTCCAGTATGAACTCTCCTATGTTTTGAAAATGAAGATCTATCTAAGAAGTCTTTCAAACACAGTGAGCATTGATATGGTTTCTCTCCAGTATGGATACGTCCATGAATTGATAGATTATATTTTTGTGTAAAATATTTTAGACACACAGGACACTGATAGGGTTTCTCTCCTGTATGAACTTTCTTGTGACTTGACAGATAATATTTTTGTGAAAAACATTTTAAACACTCGGAACACTTATATGGTTTCTCACCTGTATGAACTCTCTGATGTACTGTTAGATGATAATTATCTTTAAATTTTTTTAGACACACTGTACATTGATGTTTCTTTTCTCTGGGGGCATTCATATTTGCTTGTAAAGTGGAATAATCAAAACTTTTATACAAAAAGACCACCAATGATTTTCACTTATACACTATGAGCTTTTTGTGTATTACTAGTGTGCTCATGACAGTTCATGATATTGAAGAACATATGTATTTTTGAGTCTTACGAACAAAATTGTTTAAACACTATCATTTTCATATGGATTTTCTCTCAACTGAAAATGCTACAAAAATGGGTATACTTTTCTTCAATAAAAATAGCCATGGTAGATAAATTCTGATAATGAATACTTATATTAAAAATCTTTGGCATAGCCTTTCAATATGATTTTATTCTGCCTGAATTTTAATGTTAATATACCAAATTTACAGCTATTTGTAAATAAAACCCTGAAACTCAGCTTTTATGTTATGTGAAATCTCACCTGTTCAAATTTGAGTAAATTTTGTTGAACAAACTCAAGCTGAACAGTGAAATAATAGCAAGTATAGTACATTCTACCATTATATCTTGCATGTACTTACGATATCAAACAGTGAAGTTACATTTTCCAGAGAATGTCTTTGATAAATCATAAAGAATTAAATTATATTAGACAAAAACAAGCAACATCTGACCATTAATTGGATAACTAGTGACATGTAACAACATTGACTTTATAGTGTTGAAGTTAATGATATAGAGATAACTATCAAATTACACTATTATCATCATGAATATTAACTCAAAAGCTTGAAATATTAGATATTTGTTATATTAGCACTAAAAAGTTCTTTAAAATAAGACTCCAGAATAATGACTAAAAAGTAAAGAATACTTGAAAGTCAAGAATATTTATACTCAACTATATCAAATACATTTGTGTACTGTCAATTTGATTGGGATGTGATTAAGTTAGATGTTAGAGAAAAATTAGTTTCTTAAACTGGACAAAGAAAGGTAATGTTATATGATACCTATGCAGTCATTAAATAAGATGAATTTAAACAGCCACATTCTAAACAAGGGAGATGTCACTTACAATATCGCAGTTAAATATTTAATGCCTTGCTAGATAGTAATCCAAATATTATTTTACAGATTGTATTGAACTGTGTACATTTTCAATTGCAAGCCTTAAATTTGAAATTAGACTTTACATGGTTAAGGAAGCATGTACAATAATCAGGATGCCAAGTTCAACTTTAAGATGATAATGGACATAATTAGTACTATTTCTGACACCTTAGTATTTAGACACCTTTTCACCTGTATGAAAACTTGGCACTGATGTTATTTGTACTTAGTATTTCTGCCAATCACTTGAGCTTGGAGACACTTGAGAGTTAGCACTATATTGTTCTACCATCAGTATAAGGATGACCTGCAAAAAGGAAAAGTTCACAAATAATAAGAACTTGTGAAACTTTTACTGTTTATTCAGATTAAATGGTGATATGGGAAGATATATTTTGCAATGAATTTAAATACTACACTACAAGTGCATTAAGAACTAATTTATTTGTAAGTGAAGCATCTTAAAACAGCTTTAATCAAATACACCTATAATTACAGAGCCTTTTTAGAAAATAAGTTATTTATTTGTGAAAAGCAAATGAGGGAGAGAATGTGTTGCAATATAATAGGCATGTCTCTGCATTTGAGTAGATAAACTTCTTAGTCTAATTCACTGCAAAAATAATAATGCACAGTGATAGGATTCTAAATCATCATATAACTAAATAATTTATGTTTTAATAGTAAGATATTGAAACAGGGTGGTGTAAGGTGCAAAGGCTGGTAAAATGAGCAAAGTAAAAGTAATGAACATAGGTTGTTGAAAGTAGCGTTTGTAGCAGTGGCTGCAAGTGTGGCAATTGCATTGGGTGAGGTGGTGGGAGTTAGGTAGTGCTCAGAGGGAAGATAGAAGCAGAAGAGGAAAGAAGAGAGGGGAATAAAGTAGGTTAACCATTGTGATGCGCCACATTTACTGCGACATTCTGGCTGTGCGCCAAAAATAAAGTGTTCCAAAAACAGTACAGTATTTGTTCCTTTGGTATTGTTAATTAGCACCCAGGAAGCACAAAAATCCAAGTACGTCTATCTCTTGTAGTTTAGCCATAGTTGCCTGGAGAAGTTGCAGTTTTGGGGTAACAATTAGGAGATTTGCTGCATGGGAATAACTTTGATGACCTATTTTCAATGTTTCTCACTGTATTTATTTAGTTTTTTTTTACTCTAACAAGTTGTATCTATGTGTCACAGATGGTGTTTACGTATAACTTTGAAAATATACATATCTACAGATATATGTGCACAAATAAAAGTGGTGCAATGCTTTCAGTCCGGTAGAAAGACAGACGTGAAGTGAACATGTTGACCACCATTCACCCTGGTACAATGGTGGACAGTGGCAAGGTGAACAGAACAAAAATAATATATAAGCTCGATTGTTTGATGGACTACAAAATCAACATGCTTTTAGTCGATAAATGTGACATGATGGTGGGCGCTGTAGAATGTGTACGGAAAACAGTGAAGTGGACCAAGATGATGATTTTCCACCTTATGGACATAACAATGCTGAGCAGTTACATGTATCATGTGAAAACAGGTAGAAAACCATATTTCCGTTCATTTAGTTTTCAAGTTGTGAAACAATTACTAGGAAAGGTTGGCAAAGACACCTCTGGCATACAAAGACCCATTCAGGACCCAATATTGGACCATGCTCCTGCACCCAGGCTCGCTTACAAGGCCTTTCTGGTAGTACACCAAATCAAGATATTATTAACTCTATTACATCCATGCAGATGTAAGTATTAACCCATACAGTGGAACTGTGGTTCACGAATGCCCTGGATTACGAGTTTTTTTTATATACGAAGTAAATTTCCTTTATCAAATCAACTTAGTGTACGAATTTTGCCTTGGATTACGTGGTTCTGCTGGGTGCGGGGAGAGGCATACTCAGTTTACCAGTGTATCCTGCCTAGTGATGACCATGCTTGAATTCTTTGTGAAGAATTTCCTTGTTTTTCTGCATTTTGGGTTTCTGATTATAAAAGTTCTTAGTAAATATTATGCCATGGGCCCCAAGAATGTCAGTGGTAAAGTTCAACCTAAGAAAATAGTTGTGAGTAGAGGCAGTAAAGGATGTCCAATCAAGAAAATGTGTGCGGTATAGGAAGAACTGCAAAGCTTTGCTGAAAAGACTTGCCTAGATAAAGCTGTAGCAGGCCGTTGTGTTAACTTTTTTAATGACAATGTGACATCTTACTACAGACAAGTGTTAAAACGTAGGGAAAACAAGTGTCTATAGACAGATTCTTGGTGAGACGAGCAAGCAGTGAGCCACAACCAGGTCCTAGTGGTATGCTTGCAAAATGTAGAAGAGATTACCCCAGAAATGTCATCAGTGCCTGATGTTATAATGGAAGGGCTTCCCTTCCACACACTAACACCTCTCCTCCTCCATCACCATATGCCAACAAGAATCCTCAATAAAGGTGAGATATTGTAAAAAAAATATTAGTATACTGTATAAAATGAATTTTTAAGCTACTGTTTTTGGGAGTGCAGAACAGATTAATTCCATTTATATTATTTCTTATGGGAAAATTAATTTTGGTTTACAAATTTTTGGTGTATGAACCGTCTCTTGGAAGGGATTAAATTCGTAAATCAAGGTGCCACTGTATTAACATAATTTCTATAAAAACCAGATGATACCCAAAATCATCATGTGATGAAAATTGCATACCTGAGAGATGAGAATGATGATAATTGCACTTTAACGCTTGCACTGCGAATAACATCCTGAGAGGGTTGACCTATGGTGTACATACATCACATCCAGAGTCGTTATTAGGAACGACAAATGAGGATTTTTACTTCACTAGGTTGCAATTGCATGGCTCACCACCACTCCTGAATCACATTGGTTGTAAAAGTCCTTTAAAGCAAATGAAATGTAATATAGAGATCCATTCCAGGGTTCTCTACATCAAATATTTATTTATGCACAGACCTAAATAGTATGGGACTTGGGGCAAGTGTCTTGTGCAAGTATCTCAACTACAATAGCTTGGCAGTGCTCAAAAAGGATCGATGCAAACTACAAACGTATGAAAATATAATTTTAATTAAAGAACTTATGTACTAATACACAGAGCAACTTTACTAATTGGTGCTCTTAAAAGCTAATAATGCATCAGAGACCCCCCCTTAAATGTCTCGCCAACAGATTATGTGGCAACACACGTCTACAGTCTTGTCGTGACACTCGTGGACAACCAATCGCTGGTGGTCACTAGGGACTTAGGGGAGTTCCTTCCAGATACTCGGGAACACTTTATGACATGCAAAATTAATCACAATTAATGACATGCACATAAGCCAACATGTGTAGTGTGTGTGTTACATATTTACCTTCTTAGCTAAATGACTTATTACTTAGAAGTATAACTATCACCATTAAAACTTGACACTATCTCCCCGCCAAACACACACCGAAACTACGACATTGGTACAACGTTCGAACAAGTTTTAACACTTCCTAACCAGTTATAACAACCAATATAGCAAGTTGTAACAACGTTCTAATATGTCATAAACACGTTAAGCCAAGATGTAACAACTTTATTACACGTTGTAATAAGCAGAAAAATAGAGACAGTTTCGGTTTGTGTTTCTAGGGTCCACCCATTGCAGGTGAGAAAAAAAAACAAGATCAGTACTATCAGTACTTTGACTATACTTGTTGGCCTACACACACACACATTCACTCAGCCAACATAGATCTAAATGGTTGGCTCCTTGAGGCAGCTCACAAGTGGGCTAGTGTGCTGGTCTTGTTGACTTGCATTGACCGCATGTGGTATTTAAGCAAGATCACTCACACACTGGCAATGGACAACTATAGCTGGTCGGTGCAGGTGTGGCATGAGAGAAGAACTTGAAAGCGGTGACGTGTGTTCACAGCACAGTGGATCACAACTTGTGCTTGTGAAAGGTGTGAGCTTTACTATTCATACACGCAGTTGATCAAACAGGTTCAAACAACAGGATAAGTGGCAAACAGTAAATGGCTAGAATTTATATATCTTTCCTCAGACAGATTTAAGCTTTCCACGCTTCAATCTTCTACCATTGTACGGTTCATATACAGTACTATACTGTAATCTTGTTACTTTACTGGTCAGTTTCTTTAACGATCACTTGGATAAATCACGGTGATAGGTACTCTATATAGTCTGTTGCATCTGGCTTTACCTATTGTGATTTTCGTTTCTTGTCGGTTACTCTTGAATAGTTTACAATTATTGAATCACAGGATTGCTTGCCACTTGCAGACAATTTTACAAACAGTTGAGATAACTTGATGTTACCCTACGACTTGTGGTGGTCTAGCTATTTGGTTGGTAGCTATTCCCAATGCATCCTAATGTAACAGTAGTACTGGTGGGAATGAGGATCTAACATAAGGTAATGCTTCTCCAGCTATCCAGGACTTTGTCTCCTGATTCTACCAATCAGAGATCACTTACTACAATTTGGGCATGCTAGCTTTCTCATAGGTTGCCATGGGCTTGGTGACATCACAGCTGCATCATGGCCTGGTAAGGCAGCCATGGCCGACCAGACCCGAGGTAATCCCTTGTGATCACCTGGAGCAATCTACTGTACTGCACTACATTCGACATGACCAAGACAGCAAGGATCTTCTGCTAAAAAATACAGTACAGGGTAATACACTTCCTTCCACAAACTCTTTACTAACTGGACCCACAGTGGCTTCTGTAATATCAAAATGCTGCTCAAGTCATGGGCTCTGAGAGCCCAAATACAATCCAGTGTTGATAGCGACTGTGTACATTGCTGTGCACTGTGAGCGCATAGGGTTCTATTTCCAACTCCTGTTGCACATATAACAGCCCTACATGATGCACCTAGAAGTCAGCAGTGGGAGCAGCGACCATAAATTTTAAATAAATTTAAATAAATTCAATGTTAAATAAATTAATTAATGCTGCCGTATAGATGTACCTCATAACATCACATTTTCCTCTATGGACAAACTGTTGCATATACAGTACCAAGTTTAAACTCCTGTTCTGAAACCCAGATACAGTATCTAGATAACATTGCAGGACAGGATGTTTTGAGGCAATTTTTAAAACTTGACTGCTTCACTTAAGGACTTTTTTATGAAGCAAGTTTTCCTGCTTATCATAAAGCAAAGGTGAAATCTAATATAATTTTATGTCTCGTGCAACCATAATTTATGCTGCACATTTCCTGTGGCGTTGGAATCCTCATATACTTAACTAGAAGAGATTTTCCTAAAGTCTTTTAGTTGTTGAACATTGCTAGGGATTTTCTCTTGAAAATGAATTGTCATATGGTTAACAAGATCAGTTTTACCAAAGAAATCTTTTAGACACTTTGAACACTGATATGGTGCTTTCTTGTTATGAACGTTCATGTGCTTTACTAAATGACTTTTTTTCAAAAAACATTTAGAACACTTTAAACACTTAAATGGTTTTTCACCATTATGAAGTTTTATATGATTTAATAAGGATGACTTGCTTGAGAACTCCTTCAGACATTCTGAACACCCAAATGGTTTTTCTTTTGTATGAATAGCCATATGTTGAACTAGACCACTATGTTGTGTATATGCTTTCCAACAGTCTGAACACTGATATGGTTTCTCTCCTGTATGTAATCTTGTGTGTTTTACTAGATTAGATTTAACTGCAAATTCTTTGGAACAAACCAAGCATTGAAATGGTTTTTCTCCAGTGTGAACTCTCATGTGTGTCAGTAGATGTCCTGTTTGTTTAAAACCTTTTTGACATACTGAACACTGATATGGTTTTTCCCCAGTATGAACTCTCCTATGTTTTGCAAATGAAGATTTATCTAAGAAGTCTTTTAAACACAGTGAGCATTGATATGGTTTCTCTCCTGTATGGATACGTTCATGAATTGATAGATCATATTTTTGTGAAAAATATTTTAGACACACAGGACACTGATGTTTCTTTTCTCTGGGGGCATTCATATTTGCTTGTAAAGTGAAATTAATCAAAACTTTTATACACAAAGACCACTGATGATCTTCACTTATACACTATGAGCATTTTGTGTATTACTATAGTGCTCATGACAGTTCATGATATTGTAGAACATATTTTTTGAGTCTTATCAACAAATTTTTTTAAAAACTTCTATCATTTTCATACTGGCGATTTTTTCTCAACTGAAAATGATGCAAAAATTGGTATACTGTATTTTTCTTCAATAAAAATAGTCATGGTAGATAAATTCTGATAATGAATACCTATACAGTAACTTTGGCAAACTTTGGCAGAGCCTTCCGATATGATTTTATTCGGCCTCAATTTTTATGTTACTATAACAAATGTACAGCTATTTGTAAATAAAACCCTGAATCTCGGCTTTTATGTTATTTGAAATCTCACCTGTTCAAATCTGAGTAAATGTTGTAGAACAAACTCAAGCTGAACAGGGAAATAATAGCACCTATAACACACACTACCATTATATCTTGCATGTACTTACGATATCAGACAGTGAAGTTACAGTTTCCAGAGAATGTCTTAGATAAATCATAAAGAATTAAATTATATTAGACAAAAACAAGCAGCATCTGACCATAAATTGGGTAACTAGTCACGTGTATGTAACGATATCGACTTTCTGGTGTCTATGTCAATGATATGGAAATAACAGTTTAATCAAAATGTAATATTATCATCATGAATATTAACTCAAAAGCTTGAAATAATAGAAATTCATTAAATAAAAAGTCAAGTATACTGTACTTTGAAGTTAAGAATATTTATAATCAACTATATCAAATACATGTGTGTACTGTCAATTTGATAGGGATGTGATTAAGTTTGATGGAAGAGAAAAAAAATTAGATTCTCAAAACTGGACAAAGAAAGGTAATGTTATATGATGCCTATGCAATCAATAAATAAGATGAATTTAAACAGCCATATTCTAAACAAGGGAGATGTCACTTACAATATCGCAGTTAAATATTTAATGCCTTGCTAGATAGTAATCCAGTTAAATATAATTTTACAGATTGTATTGCACTGTGTACATTTTCAATTGCAAGCCTTAAATTTGAAATTTGACTTTACATGGTTAAGGAAGCGTGTACAATAATCAGGATAATGCCAAGTTCAACTTTAAGATGATAATAGACATAATTAGTACTATTTCTGACACCTTAATATGCTCTATGAAAACTTGGCACTGATGTTATTTGTACTTTGTATTTCTGCCAATCACTTGAGCTTGGAGACACTTGAGAGTTAGCACTATATTGTCCTACCACCAGTGTATGGATGACCTGCAAAAGGAAAAGTTCACAAATAATAAGAACTTGTGAAACCTTTACTGTTTATTCAGATTAAATGGTGATATGGGAAAATGTATTTTGCAATGAATTCTGAATACTACATTACAAGTGCATTAAGAACTACTTTATTTGTAAGTGAAGCATCTTAAAACATCTTTAATCAAATACTCCTATAATTACAGAGCTTTTTTAGAAAATAAAGAATTTATTTGTGAAAAGCAAATGAGGAAGAGAACGTGTTGCAATATAATAGGCATGTCTTTGCATTTCAGCAGATATAAACAAACGTCTTATAGTTTAATTCACTGCACATAATAATAATACAGTGATATGATTCTAAATCATCATATAACTAAATAATTTATGTTTAAATGGCAAGATATCAAAACAGGGTGGCATAAGGTGCAAAGGCTGGTAAAATGAGCAAAGTAAATGTAATGAACATAGGTTGTTGTAAGTTGTGTTTGTAGCGGTGGCTGCAAGTGTGGCAATTGCATTGAGTGAGGTGGAGGGAGTTAGGTACTGTAGTGCTCAGAGGGGAAAATAGAAGAGGAAAGAGAGGGTGAAGTAGAAAGAGGAGGGAGTGAAGAGGAAAGGAGAAGGAGTGAAGAAGAGGGGAAATAAAGGCACTTAGCAAGACATTCCAACAGGTCTACACGAAATAAGTAAGTTTCCAGAATGATGGTGGGAGACAATTGCAATATTAGAAAGTATGGTAATTAACACTCCCAATGTAACTGAACACACGAAAGAAGCAATAAGACCAAACGATGTCACCATGGCATCAGGGAGCCGGTCAGCCGAGCGGACAGCACGCTGGACTTGTGATCCTGTGGTCCTGGGTTCGATCCCAGGCGCCAACGAGAAACAATGGGCAGAGTTTCTTTCACCCTATGCCCCTGTTACCTAGCAGTAAAATAGGTACCTGGGTGTTAGTCAGCTGTCACAGGCTGCTTCCTGGGGGTGGAGGCCTGGTCGAGGACCGGGCCTCGGGGACACTAAAAGCCCCGAAATCATCTCAAGATAACCTAAAGATGGCTACTGAATTAGGTTGCGGGTCACTTTGTCACCCGGTAACTAAAAGTTGTAATAAAAAACACAAAAATGGAGATCTAGAAATAATGAAAATAGCAAAAAATAGTCCTAATATTTAAAGAGAGAATGTGGACAAGAAAACTAAATTACAGACCAGTGTCCCCCAGAATCACTGCAAGATAACCGCAAGGCAAGATAACTAGTGGTCACTATTGCATGTGACAGTCAACATGATTAATGCACAACAAATTACATTTATGAATTTTTATAGTCAGACTAACATCTTGATCATTATATTGTGTGTGCACTAAGAATAATTGGCTTAAATAATTAATTTGATACAAATTTTACTACCAATAATTCAAGACCATTGCGAATTTAGTTGGAGAAAATGTTCTTTTGTATGATGAATCATTAGCTTTACCCATTGTCATGCCTGATGGCAAGCTGTCATGGCATGACATAGATAGCGACTGGTTAAGCTAACGAATCATCATATGAAAGAACAATTTTTTTCCATCAGGTGAATAATTTGCACTGTTCATGAATCATTGGTGATAAATTTGGTGTCAATTTAACCCCAGCACTACACACGTATTTTTGGCAAAAATTTTCATGGAGCAGTTGTTAAGGACATATTTTTGGTGGTTTTATAAATGTTCAGCTAATGTAACTCAAAATGTTTCCAAACTCAACCAATTTCAATTCAAATCTCAGTAACGAAAACATTGAAATATGGCCTAATTAAACAAAAAAATTGCACAACCCTCGGAGTGCTTTGTGCAGTTAGGTGGTTGACGATCTGTGACACTTATTCATGGTGCACACAGATTATTAGGTTAAGACACTAAATTTATCACCAATGATTTGTAACTGGTTCAAATTGTTCAGTTGATAGAACAAATGTTCTTTTATATGATAATTCATTAGCTTAACCCACTGCCATGCCAGCCTAATCGAATATGTACAGGCTAAGAGCCTATGTAATAATAATTCCTTAAATCGAGGGACAGGCAGCTAACGTATACACACGTTAAGCTTATATCAAGGTCCCCCTCAGGGTAAAATAACTGACCCTTCCCAGGATGAAACCCCACAACAACCTGCCTAACTCCTGGGTACCTATATTTACTGTTACGTGATAGGAAACATGCCTAACCACTTCTGTCCTGCCTGGGATTCAAACCCGGAATTCACAACAAAGACAAAAACAAACCAAGGATACTAGTGTGGATCCTCGAAAACAAGCAGGATCCTAGTACATGTAACACATGATAATGGTTCAACTGATGTTAACCTAGTGTATACTTCATTACATTACCACATGGAGATGATGAGTCACAATAACATGGCTAAAGTATGTTGACCAGACCATGTGGTCAACTTACTACATGGAGTCAAGTTATGAAAACCATAATTGGTATGCATATTGTATAATTGCAATAAGGGGGAATTTTATATAACGAGTGCCTATTTTCATTATGACGATAACTGCATTCATATAGTAACCATGAAATAACAGGATTTTTTTACATGGGTTAAGGTAAACTCACTGGACTTTTCTATACCCCAGATAGCTCAAGAATACAGATAAGCAGGGAAAACCTGATAATAGAGGTTGCACTGTACAACACTGGACAACACATATTGCCAACAAAATATTGCCAGATTCATTCTGGTGACCGTGTACATTAAGCTCTTGCTCTGCAATAGTATGCATAGAGCAGATAAGATATACAAGTTGTTCTACATGATATTACTAATCATGTTGGGTAAAAATACTCCTCTGTCCAAAGACTAGTGTTCAGGTTTCTAAACACATGGCACTCGCTCAAACTTCGGATACGGCCAGTTTTTTATAATATATCTTGGGATTTTGACTGCACAATGTTCATTCCATTATCATTTTATAGAACTCCTCCAATTCATACCATAACTTTCGCAACAATCTGAATATTATTCTTGTTTAATCCACTGAGAATAATCCATAACCAAGTACCCTAGGACCAGTGACTTTAGATCTAAAGAATACCGATACTTTGACATGGTACAGTATATGGTATCAAATGGCAAACGTTCTGCAATTCCCAAGAAATGAGCACCGAGCTACCTGGTGCTGGCATCTGCATCCCCAGGATGATGGCAACTAGAAAGATAATGGGCCAAGCATCCATAAAGGAACAAATTTACTTTACAGCCTAATAATATGCCCGAAACGCTTTGCGTAATAATGGCTTTAGGCATTGTATGTGCTAGCCCTATCTATAAATCCATCACTCTTTGTAAAATCTCTTGTATGTATATACCTTACCTAAATAAACATTTGATTTGATTTGATTTGAATATTCAAACAAAATGTAGTAGCATCTTTTAACCTGTGCCAGCATTAAGCGATGTATCTCACCTTGTGTACACCAAATACAAAACAAAATATCTTGATTTTTGTCATTTTAGACTGGCTTGGGGTTAAGATAGGTTAGGACAGGTAGGCTGGGTTAGGTTAGGTTTCAATAACGATGTAACACAGGCCAAACTTTTCTGATGTCTCAAGAGCCAGCTCACAAAGGCAGGAATAATACAGACCATAATAATACATGATAACGCAGGTAAAATTTATTTACGATATACAGTTACCTGGACATTCACACGCACTACACACCTTACATATTTTATGCCTAGACCCATTCTAGTTAATATAGTTAATATCTAAATATTATATCTGCAGAAATGACTACAATAGTGCTATTTTATCGATAAATGTATCTAAATGTGATACATGTCACCAGCATGTCCATAAATTTACGTATTTCCATATCAGACTTGATTACAAGTAACGTAATTACTGTACCAGTATGTAGCATGATAGAATACATAGGAAAATGGCCAGCAATACAGCATCAAGCTTGCTGTAAATGACCCGTCTGAAGTAAACTTTTTTCCAGCTTGTTGTTACTAGTTTCAGAGATGATATTGCAGATAATCACATCCCAAAATACGGCATCAAGAGCAATGTGTGGAGGGGGGAGGATGGGACCAATTATCACCCACTAAATTACGAGTGGCTCACCTTGCAAGGCTCAGAGGCTGGTCAAGGCACCACATTCCTTTGTCAGCACCATCGCAGCGTTGAGGACGATTTCTTGGGCTTGAGTGAGGATAATAATGAGTGAGTGAGTGAGAGGTGAGGGTGCAAGGAGCAGCATCAGTCAGTGGGACAAGATGGTGGAGCGCGCGTCCCTCGCTCACTGGTGCAGCGTTGCCAGATCCCAATTGATGAAAGTAGCAAAAAGTAGCGAATTTGTAATTAAAGTAGCCCAATCTTTTTTTAGTAACTCATTCGGTTTTCAGAACAATATATTTTAATACATAGTGTAACGCTGCACGATTGTATTATCACTGCATGTATATAACCAAAAAACATAATTGGATAACATAAATATGTATGTTATATAATGACATGCGTAGTGTCCAATGATGAGCAACAAGTGTCTTTCTTCAAGATATGTTTTGATTCTCAAGATTGATGTCAAAAGCTATAGGTTCCATTCCATTTCTCAGTTTGCTTTGGTCCAAAATGTCGATCCAGATGTTAGAATTTGTCCCTCACAAGTGTTGAGGAGTCACTGGTTAACATTAGACGACGCATTCTTTCCATTTCACTAACCTTAGTCTTGTTAACTAGAACTAATGAAAGTTCTGAAAATGGTGACTGTGTGGCTAGGGCATATGTTAGGTGACAGATTTGTCACCGTTTTGAAAATTTCAGTAGTACTGGGAAAGCGAGAAATAATAATAAACACACACACAAATGTTTTTCACACGCAATATCTGTCTACTCATCTATAAGTGGCTTACTGGTGGTCCATCACTACGTATCGGTACTTTCTACCAAAAATTTAAGTACTATCATTTCACGAGGATGGATTACTAACATAGACATTACCCGGAATGAAGCATTAATGGCACCTAAGGTTGGGAAATCTATCGCCCCTGGGGGAGGATTACTTTACTCTGCGAGTACTTTTCTTTCCATGGTTCCGAGGATCAACGCCCCCAGGGCCCGGTCTTTGACCTGGCCTTCTTTCGTGGTCTGGTCAACCAGGCAGTTGGACGCAGCTGTGATTTATACATATTACATTATAAATAATAAGTCATTGACTATCTTAACATCGGTAGCCCAAATTAGTCAACATATTTTTAAATTAGCCCAAAATGTCGCAAGTAGCGAGCGCAAAATTTAGGAGCGACATTTGGACTTAAAAGTAGCCCAATACGCTACTATTAGCCCAATCTGGCATCACTGCACAGTTGCCACATCACCTGCGCCCACCCACCTCATGGCCTCACAGTAGCGAATTGTCAATTAAAACTAGTACAATATTTTGCATAGCAACTTTTATTTAAATTTATTATTTTAGAGTAATATATTTTAGTACATAGAGTACATTACACGATTAAATGCTTTTAATATCATCATGTACCTAATAAAACAAAATGCGATGATTGGAAACTTACCAATATTTGCTGTATGATTAACCTTAACAAAGGTATGTTAAATATAATTCCTGCCTTACTCAATATACTACCTTCTGTGTAGAGAGAAAAACTGACCAGTGCTGTTTGCAGTTCCCGTGGCGCAGTGGTAATTAAGACACTCGTCCGGCGCCTCCCCAAGGGATTAGGCCTGGGTTCGAATCCTGGCCAGCGAGGATTGACTGGGCGCTAATCCTTAACTGTTCACCCAGTAATGAATAGATACCTGGTGGTTAAACGATTTGGAGAGTCGTATTCCGGGGAAAATTGGGATTAAGGACCTGCCCTAAACGCTATGCACGCTAGTGGCTTTACAAGAATGTAATAACTTGTATATTTCTTACAGTTATATATTGTATATGTATCGTGTATATTTCTTGTATATTGGAGATCCTCTTAATAGATGGTCCCGGTAGTACTGTCGAGTTTGTTCTCGACGCACAATCCAGAATTCCGGGTTCGAATCCCGGGCCGAACAGAAATGGTTGGACATATTTCCTTTCGCCTAATGCCTCTGTTTACCTAGCAGTAAGTAGGTGCTCAGGAGTTAGTCAGCTTGTTGAATTTGAATTGTTGCCGCCGGATGCGGCTAGTTTGTTAGGTTGCATCCTGGGCGGGGTCAGTAATTCGACCTTGAAGACCTCCTTATAAGCCTAAGGTGTATGAATACACACTGACTTCCTGTCCCCCAACACAATAAATTCTTAAATAAAATAAAATAAAAGTTTATAGGCGGGAAAGTGTTGCCAACGCACAAGCCGGGGCAACCTACTGTAAATATATGTAAACTGATTGAGTAGAAGTGTTGCCAATATCATTCCACTAAATATTCCAATTGTATACAATGTACTAGTTAATGATATTCCATTCTATCTGTACCATAAAATATACATGTTTTACACGCCCAGTAGCAAAAAGAATAAGGAAAACAGTAAGGAGAGAGGGGAAGAGGGGAGAGAGGAGAGTGGGAGGGTGGGGTGAGTGAGATGAGAGAGAGAGAGAGAATTGCAATTAAACACAACATTATTATTTCATTTGCTAATTTTCCTATGATATTTTCAATTTTACATAAATACCTTCTACCATCTAGAGGGTATAAAAACATTAGATAACTTAGTCTTTCCATTTTATTACAATGCTTTGTCAACAACATCTTCAGAAATATACACCTGATAATGAGAACTCTTAAGTATATTCACATTACCAGCCCTCCTCCTAAAATGAAAGTACTTATTTTTACTTTAGGCATAATATGTACTAGCTGCATCTAGAAATCCAACATTCTGTTTGTAACTAATTTTGAATGCATGTACTTTTATATGAAGAAACATTATTATTATTAATATTATTATTATTAGAGAAGTTCATATTACTGAATTTCAACAAACTGGAAAAGTGCTTATATTTATGTTAATAAAACCCTAACCTTTTTAACCTTTCAGTTAATCCAAGACCTAATACATGCTATCTGAGGCCTAATATAGTACATATATATATACTGTATATACATATACAGTATAGTATACAGTAGTTCCTAGTTCATATAGTTCCTTGGCCTAGTATAGCACATATATGATAATAATTAATTATTATATACTGTATGTGCTATACTTGGACAAGAAATATTTAAGTATGGTTTTTTGCATGATTTTTTCTGAACTCTATAAAAATAGAACAAAAAGTGGCTTACTAGGCCTCTATTACTACATATTGGAACAATCGACTGCATAATTACAAAAGTACTATAATTTCAGGAGGATTACATACAAGAACATAAATATATGAGTATGAGTTCACCTCATCCCATCATACTCATCCTTGGAAATTAGTACAGTAGTCCTTAAGTATAGAGAGCAACAAACTATGAAGTCAGGTGATAGTTGTTTAACAAGACAGGTATCTTCTCTCTAGGTCAAGAAAAAGCCATCTAACACTGAATGCTCAATGTTAAATTCATTTGAATGTTAATTTATGGGATAAGTTTGCAAATAAAGATAGCTTCAGGTGTTCATAGGCTCCTTCAGTCACTGGTGTATGTGATGACTGTGGTGTCCTGTATGATGTCCTGATAATTCAAGACTTTTTTTTCACACAGGCGAGTACAGAAACAAATGACTTCTGACTCCTGTTAGCAGGCTCAGAGCTTTTCCTTCCCATAGCTCTAGTGGGTAAGCCTTACCCACTAGTTTTCACTGGAAAATAGCCCCCCAGTTAGTTAACAATTAGATAACCAAATTACTGCTGAGTGAACAGAGGTGAACAATTAAGGATAGATAGCCAGACAATCCTCCCTGGCCAGGACTTGACCCTAGACAAATAGCTCACAAGGCACAGAGTGAGTGTTGTTGTTTAATTCCTCCTTTCTGCATATGAACTGTGAAATGCCTATTCAGAGTATTAATAATGTGTCCAATATAACATATGTTGTGGAGCAGTGTGCAAAATTGCATATATATTCATATACTGTACTACATTAGAACACTTTTGTTTGTCAGAGGCAGAAATTTTGTTTTCATAACAAGGGAAGCTGTACCAGGGTTGTTATAGTAAATGATAGGAATTTCACCATAAGGTTTACAATTTCCTGTCAATTTGTCAATTATATCCTGCATTGCCTTATCATTATTCTTATAAGCCTGAATAAATGTATTTGTATAGTACATTACAATGTCTTCATCTGGGGGCAGTTATTCTCAGTGTAATGGTGACTTAGTATTTTACTTATGACTTTGTCAATTGCTGCATCATTATAATCGTTATTCACAATTCCTGTATTTGGTGGATACATTTCAGTTCATGATGCAAGAGCTGTCAAGAAGAGTAGATGCAACCTGCATGCCCTATACTGTATATACACTGATGACACTTTTCTCATGTACATTCACTCTTACTGCTCATACATTGACCCACATCAGTTGATTTACAGTACACATCTGTGATGAATCTACCCAAAGTATTATCCACTAGAACGTTAAGGAATGGTATTCTACCTTCTGCTCTACTGTGAACCTTAATTATGCCTGAGACTTCTTGAAGCTTACAACAAAGCCTCACCAATGTTTTCATCATTAACACATACGAATATATCGTTGACATAACCTGCAGCTTCAAGAACAAGATATCACAGATTCAAACTAAGGAAACAAAGGTGGTAAAAACCATCGGAAAGTTCTCTTTTACAGAGTGGTAGACGATTGGAACAAATTAAGTGAAGTGGTGGTGGAGGCCAAAACCGTCAGTAGTTTCAAAACGTTATGCGACAAAGAGTACTGGGAAGACGGGACACCACGAGCGTAGCTCTCATCTGTAACTACACTTACGTAATTACATACACACTTATTATCCACCTACCTTCTGAGAAGCAATAAGGGAGCTCTTACCACTGGATCAATGGTAAGACGGATGTGTACAGAATCTACAGCGACTAAATACTACACCACAAGAAATATATATATACATTGTATTGTCAAATCCTTAATGCCTTCACCTCACCTAAATTTTTTATTTTAATAAATTAGCTGCGTATCTCTCATAGGTACAATAAAGCATTTTAAGCAGGTAATTGTATCTCAACAGGTGTGATAACAAAGGTTACTTCAGGCATTCATTAGCCAAATACTGCAGTACTGTTCTTTCTTTTACATGCAATGAATTATATTTCTTTTTTAGGTATGACTCAACATACAAATAGTTTAGCACTCCAATTAAACTCTCCCTTTATCTGTTTTTTGTTTATTTTCATCAACAGATAATATTCTAAATACACAAACTGACAAACTTTCCTCACTGAGCTACAAAGGTGGTAATTGAATGCCTGGTTAGATTAACATTTA